ACGTTCATTGTCTTATTGGTATGTTTCTATCACAACGTGTCGGTTAGTAGTATCTTCAACCGTTTTCAGTGTTCGCCTGAAAACATCCGCTTGTGAATGAATTCCAGTGGGGTGCGAAAAACTAGCTATTAATACTTCTAAAGTGCGTACAACAGCTCTACAGTTCCAACGGTCGCTTACATTTCTGTTAAACAACTCAAAAGAAACAAAATTTTAGACACCATGCACCTCGAAAATGAAGGCACAGAGAGACTTTTTTTCATGAGAAATTCACACGGTGTTGTGCCAGATGGGCAACAATCGCACTAAGAGTCTGATGTACTTGTTGTGCCGAGCCCTTTGGGCACGACACTGATTTAGTGGCAAAAACTAAGCAATTTGCAAATTAAGAGTGTTTTTCGTGTTCAACTCAGTGTCGTGCCAAATCGACCAATAAAAAATTGCAAATTTACATTGTTTTTGGTGTTCAATGCACAACAATCGCATTAGGATACTAATGTATGTGTTGTGGCGAGCCCTACTGACAGAACACTGATTTGAACACAAAGAAACACTTCTCTTTTGCGTTTTTTATGGTGCGACATTTATTTATTGCCACCCTAAATATACACATTTTTCTTCTAATTAAAACTTGATTAGCATTCAATACAAAAACACACTCTTAATAGTTCTAACGTACGTCCTCATATGCATCCTAATGTATAATATAAGACACAAAATTTTTGACACTAAAAAGTGCTTTTCTTTCATGAAGAATCTACAGTTTGCCTTCAAGACACTTATTTAGAACAATCCTGTATATAGACTTTTTCCTTCTAATTGACGATTGACGAAGATCAAATCCATAAACCTTGCAGGTTTAATTCAGTGGGTCTCAGAAATAATGTCTAAATTCATTTAAAACTCAGCGAACTGTTTTCTAGAAAAAAGCCCGGACCCTCCAATTTTTATTTGTAAATGCTACTTTTTTATTTTATACCAATATATATTATGTATCTATGTGCTTTATTGTAAAAACTTCTCGGGTAGGTAAGCGAAAAAATTTTCCGTTTTTCTACCATCGACCAATGGACTAAAAACAATTGTCCATAAAGAATACGGAATAACTTCCAGGCCGTAGATTCCGAAAGATAATTGTTTGTTTGTTACGCAATTGAGCAGACAGGTACTTTGTTCGACCGTTCTCGCATTCACTTCTGATTAATAGATCTTAATGTTAAAGTAATGTGCTTTTTTAACATACGCAAAGTCAAAGAACCCGTAGGTTTTAATTATACCATTGTTCAACTTTCAATGACTTATGCGGTCAGTAGCTGACGATTGAAGGAGCAGGTTTTCGAGCTATAAAGGCATTTTCGTACCATCTGTTAGGCATTGTTTGAGGAGATAATTCAAGTAATAATGTTACTAATAATGGCCGCAAAAAGCCGCCTTTGTTTCGCAGGAAATACGGTTCTGGCCTTATACGAACAGGCGCAATAGTTGAGTTGGTTCTCTTTTTTTTCGTTTTCATAATCATTCAATGAACAATGATGTTTCGATTGATCCGCCAAGAGTGTCGGTCTTGCGCACCATCGATTCGCGCCCCTCATGTGAAAACTCATTTCCGGCGGAGAAAAGCGGATTTAATTTTCTGCAATCGACAAACAATATTGTGAAAGGGTGCAAAACACGGCGACTCAATATTCTTTCAATCAACACAAAACATGTCTCCTCTTCCATTGGGAAAAATGATTGGAAATAACTACGAAAAAATCGGTTTATTCTGATGGATGCCGGAAATGTGCAGGAAAACAACAATCTAAAATCCAGCACTCTTTTGGAAACAAAACGGAACGTTTGGTTGTTTCTTTCGTGTTTTCGTTCACTGATGACTAGCCGAGATTCAATCAATCACTGATAAATTAACTGAGTGTTTAACAATGGAAAACGTCTCGCGAAAGAAACAGGGTTTTTTTCAGATTCACATCAGAAATGTACCTTTTGCCTACGGATTATACGGGTATCCTCAGGCAACATCTCACAATTACTCATCAATCGTTGATGGAGAACCGAGACTTTCATCTTGAGGTGGCCCCAGGTGAAATTTGCTTCACATTTTTCGCCTGATTGACAGATTTACAATAAACTACGAATTGAATGGTCCTTGTTTCCCATTAATTTCGGGGCAACAATGTGTGGAAATTAAACGCGTTTGAAACATCATCATTAATCAACATCCATCCGCACGGGTACTTTCCAAGTGGTCACGACTCTGATGCAGCCAATTGGAACCGAAACCCGCACGCACAGCAGGTTCAACAGACCAACGGCCAAATAAACCGCTTCATAAATGATTTACTTTCGTTGTCGCATTTTTCGTCGAACGCGAACCTTGTGTAAATTGTAATTCAGTACAAGAATGGTACAATCGTCCACTTGCGACCAAACAGTTATATACGCAAGTTTTTGTGGCGCACGATCACCGCTCAAAACACTTTAACAAGTGTAGCTGCGGGATCCTTAAGAAGCGCGAAAAATATATTAAAGGGGGCTCTTCTACAGAAAGAGATGATGTTCAGGATCATCATTTGAAACCACATTTTCATCAATGTCCTCTTCTACTACATTCCATGGGAAAGTTTATGCAATAGTTCCATAAAATCCGTCTCAGAACTGGCGAAATGCGTGAGGTCTTCTTACATGCACGTTGCTGGTGAATAATAATTTATTTCGTTCACGCCTTTCGCATTAACACTCCATTGTTATTTACGAGGAATATGCTTCAGCACTGTTCTGCCTCACATGTTATTATTGTTATTTCCATAAGCCCGCCATGCTTTCATGTGCATTTGAAATGAGGAAGTGGCACAAATAAAATGTCCAGCGTTAGTCCAACCCACAGATCACCATTTTTTTAACTTTGTGAAGATGAAGAACGGGAGCCGATTTTGCCAGCTAAATCCATTTTCGCTTGATTGCTAATTGGAATGGCTAATTTCGGTTGGGAATCGACCAAATCCAAATGAAGAGAACGTTCCAGCGTAACTAATCGGCCACACGAACATGATTAATATTCTTTTAACTACGGGACTCATCGTATTGAAGTGACGTGCCCTGACCTGACACCTGCTGGGCCTCCTGCTGAGTTTTTCTCTGTGTAAACTTGGCGAACGCATATGTAGGTACGTTTTCCCGTCACTTTTCGAACAGTTTACACTGTTTCCTTGTTTTTGCTTGGCTCTTTCTTATTGTAATTAGATTCCAAAGATGCGTCCAAACACTGCGAAAAAAATTAAGTTTATTGAAGAAAATCCAGTGGGGGCACAATTGCACTATAGAACCATATTTGCAATAAAAAAAATCAATTGTCTGTTGAAAATGTTCCTTACTGAGAACGCAGAGCAAGTAGCAATTGAAATAAATCATAATAACAGCTTCAAGAGCAGCTGGATGCTGCATTAAATTTTGCATCCAACTAATCAAACATGCCCCGTAGAGTTATTATTCTGCTCGCAAGCTCCGATCATCAAGTCCACTTTTTTTCTGCTCGTTTCATTAGGCTCTATCAGGCAGGATAAGGAAGCATGAAGATCACGGAAGGCAAATTTGCGTTTGGACGGTTTGCTCGAACTATGCGAAATGGCCGATTTCGATGATGCTTTAGAACACCCAGTCCATGCACTGTGGCGAAAGTTCACAGTAGAACGAAGCACGAAAGCAGAATTAAGGAAAATGGGAGTCTTGGCTAATTTGAAGGGTGTTCTCCAAATTAGTGCGGTCAAGAACTACGATTTCTGATTTTGCCAGTAATACCATGAGTTAATGAGAATGTTCACGAAAGCTTGAAATAAATCCACTAATTTCATTGATAATGTGGATTCATGGGGCAGCTGTGGACTTTTTGTGGAATTTTGAAGGCTTTTGATCCCAATATCCGAACTCAGAGCGTGAATCTTAAATCCAACCTCGTGAAGTGAAAGATTTTCAAATTTGATACTTTTGAAATCGAAAGACGGAAGTCAATTTAATAATTTTGCCGATGATAATGCAATTTCACTAAAATTCTGAAAGTTTTTGGTGTCAACATTCAACCTGAGAAAGTGGATGATTTTCAATTCTGGATGCAACTAACACTTGGAAGACTGAAATAAATCACCTTATACCTATCGCAAATGATTTGAATTTGTAGGACAGTTTTCAAAGTTTTAGGACATTTCTCAACCTAGTTTTCAACTGATTTGGCAGGCAGAAAATGCAGTTATGGCATAATTTTGGAGTTTTTACAAAAATTTTAAAGTTTTTGCTCTAAACGTCCACCCTTTCAAAATAGATGGTTTTGAGACAGTAAACATTCGACAACTGGGCTGTTACTCTTAAAATGGACAGACCGAAACAGATCAAACCGCTCTGCTAAAATTATTCGGAAAATTTGTGCGCTTTCGGTCCCAACCTTCACTTGGAAACAGTTGGTCGTTTTTATTTCATGAATTAACTCAAACAAACAATGATTCTAAAACAGAAGGAAATCTCGGTGATTATGAAACGGTCAAAGTGACGAATTTATTGAATACATTCCTAACTACTCACTTAATTTGCATGAATAGTTCAGTTGCGATTGATTTTAATTTGAAACAATCAGTCAATTAATTTTCGAATTTCGACATCGAGCCGAAATAATAAACCGTCTAGCCTTACCATCAACACCCATCAAATTACGGTAAAAGTTAACATTGACGTATGGTCGGTGCCCGTTCACAAGAAATGAAAGTATTTCCTTTATTTATACCTGTTGTAATCGTATAATATCTATTTGTTAAGTGCGATAAATTATCCGGCGTAAATGTTGGATCGTCTATTAGAGTTTTAATAGCATCAGGTGTTCTATATTCGAAATCTAGGCTTCGACAGACATAATAAAATATGGTAACTTATTGACGCAATAATGCCCATAAAACATAATGAACGCATTGATACTTTGTGGGTTATTTGATGAAAATAATCGACAATTATTGTTTCAGGAGTTATCATAAAAATATCTACTGGTTTCGAATCGTTGCCTGTTCAAGCCGTGACATTTCAATGGGAATTGCACATGGAATAATAACGATGCAGGAAAATCTGCTATGAGTAAGTGGGATTTTAGATATTAGCTTTTTGCATAGTTTTGCTTGACATACTTAGTTTTGTTGATTCTTCACTTGGAGGAAGTGTGGAAGTAAAAATGTTCAAAGTAACAATTTGTTAGTGGAATATTCTTTATTTAAGCAATAATTAGGTACATCTACAGGGTGATCCGCAGATATAAAGTGCATCTTCACCGAAGTGGTTATTGTCCCGGTTCATGTTACGTCAATGGTTGAAAGACATAACCAAAAAAAAATTGAAAAAAATAATTTTTTTTTCCAAAATTTCAGGAAGATATTAACAGTTGAAGACCGAATATCAACTTTCTTATTAAGCATTATTTTGAAAAGGTCCCACGTGTGATTGGTAGCTATTGGAATACTTAAGCATTCGAAAAGAAAAATTACGATCTTTTAAGCAGTTAATTAACCGAACACGAGAAGCTGCTCAAAATATGAGCCCAGACTCAAAGTGATTGGGACACAAAGATGTTTGGAGTGGAACGGGCAGGACTTCTTGCTCTTGGGAACACTTCTGTTTTAACAACAGAATTGTATTTTATTTGATCAGTAATATTGATCATGATACGTAACGTTTAACAGGTGGTTCCGCATGAAAGTTGTGGTCTATTTAGGTATATGACTCATTTGCTCCAAAGAGATGGCAGCACTCGAGGGGATGTTTTGTCGAAGCACTGACCGCAAGGTGACACCGTTATCCTAACCTCAACGCATGTTATTGTCTCTTTTATTTTCTTTGCTTCATGTTTATCCATGGTTGCCGGAGTTTTTAATAATTTCGAAGGAACAGTTATTTACGTAATGTTAATTAGAGAGATTACCTTGAAAAACATTGTTGCCATCCTTCTGATCTAGTTTTTCAATATATCATGAGTTTTTAATAACATTTAATTTTATTCACTATTTTTTCTGTACTCCCAAGACACCCCCAGACAACACCTCCAGAGGAATGACGCCAATTTTGAATCACCCTGTAAATGTTATTTCTATAGTATATTGATTTTGAGTCAAGTTTTGGATGATAAAAGGCAATTTTTCTCGAAAATGATCAACAGAGCAGTTTTGGATTGGATTAACAGTTAGACAAGTTAGACAAGTGCAAAATTTCGATAAATTTAATCCAACAATGCGACTCATTAGTCGAACGTGTCAGTTCCATTTATAAAGCATGTTCGGTCGTTTGTTTACAAGTCGTGGTACCGCGTACCCTTACGTGGTTCCCCTGTGGTTCAAAGCCAGCCGCCGAACACGCGAGAAGCGACCGAAAACACAATGAGCCGTCATATTTCAATTTTATTCTGCTGTTGATTCAAGTACGGCCAACAAAATGATGGATTTTGAATTGTGGGCACGGAATTCTATATTGATTTTTCGAAAACGCCTCGTGCTTGGTACGGTGGAAGCATATTTCACGCGGCGGGTCGTCTTCAGCATTGGAAGACATGGACATTCTTGGAAGCTTTTAAGGCGCTAATTTGTTCTTTGTGGCCGCAATTTTGCTTTGTTGGACAGCCACCTATAAATTTACACGTGAAACATCGCACGTCAGAAAGATTATGTTGATGATAAAACCTCTTGGTCATATGGAAGGATATGTGCGCGTAGGGGTTTATTATTGTTGGTTTTCTTCTGATTAATCTCCCAGATCGTAGCAGGTGATTTCCCAAAGCGTTTGTGCAGTTTGAGCGCTCCTCTCCATCAAACCACTCGATGCCAATTGAATTTTAACTGTAAAATACGCTCTTTGCCTTATCACAACAATAAGCTAGATAATTGCAAGCGATCTTCGACATAAATTAACTATAAAAGTTTACAGCCTCTCATGCGCTTTTCAATACAGTTATATTGTGCTCGTTTACGAGCCTAATAAAATTTCGATTTTATTGTCACCAGAGCCAATGCGGTTACAAATTAGAATGCAAAACATTTGATATCACTGTTCGACTCTGCGGTTACTCGATTTGTCCTGCTAGTTACGAGGTTACCCACCTGAGTCAAAGACACTTTTTAGTGCAGAAATTCACTACTTTGTTAAATTGAACATCAATTGTTCGTGCTCTTTGCAAGCGTACTCGTTGCTGCATTTATTTAGCGCGCCTATTTAGGTAGAACTAATATGCTTCCTATCCCGTTCTTCCGTCTACAGGAATAGGGTGTTTTCATTGTATCAAAAAAGTAGTAAACAAAGTCAGCTAAAATTCAAATTATTCATGAATCTCTAAAATGCAGTCCTATTGGTTGTGACGTCTCTGGTCATATAAATGGCGGATTGTTTACGTTTTGTGCATAGTGTTTAGTTGTGTGGTTGTGTTTCATTAATTATTTTGCGGATTTAAATAATTTATAGTTTGTGTTAAACTAAAAAATAGCTTCAAAAGGATTCCTTAAAGCGTCAACAAACAATTTACCATGTGTACATATTTTTATGGTTACGGAATTTTTAAAAAACGACGAACGCTTTAATTCAGCCGAATTTAAGGGTGTCAAAGCAGCAGCGTAAGTAAAAATCCGTAAATTCATTATTAGTTACTTTCTCCTTAATATACTAATCTGTCTGTATTGGTTTAAATTAGGTAAATAATATATAGAATTTCACTTAGTCGACTTAACCTAACCTATACACATCGCCGCTTTAAAAGTAAAATGAACTCTTAAATTTGTATTTTGGGCATCCCGAGAACAATATGGTGATATCGGCTATGTGGAATTGAAACACGAGGGTTCTTCGTGCACTGTACAAGGTAGAATGTGCCCAGAACACAGAGTACGATCGACGGCATATTCTGTCTGCCTCATCATTAACTTTTTGTTTGTACTTTCATTAAAATGATCCTCGCAACATAAAAACATTGATTTTGATTTAGGAACATCACGTCTAGCTGCTTGGAACCATAAAACTTTACGTGCATAATCATGGGGAACGGTTAGAAAGAGTTTGTTTGGAGCACTTATTGAGGTATTCTTGCATCCTGGTACGAAACACCCCTTATTTTGCGATCCATACAGGTCACTATTTTCCATTATGTAAGATAATAATAATAATCAATAAAATAATGACAATCTCAATAACTTAAATAATAAAACAAAGCTGCGGAAACAACAAAATAAACACGAGACACTTTGTTGATATGACCTGCTACGTCACAATCGGGATAGGCAACCGACGATACGGATTCGGCGTTTTTGGCGGAAAATATCTGATTTGAATTTAAATTCGCTTTAAAATTATTATGGAGGCTTTTTTTGCAAAAAAAATTAAATCAGTGTAATGTTTGCCATAACTATTTCCTATATATCAACATAAAAAAAGTGAAAACATCCTATTAAGAACACTGCAGAGATATACATAGATTGAAAATAGACATGCAATCAAACTTATGCATTTCTTTCTTTAAAATTTCTCAAGTATTTTGATTTATTTTGTTCCTATATTATATTCTTGAGTATTATTTGCAAGCTTTCACTTTCCACAAAATCTGACTCTTTTGCCTCAGTTCATTGAAAATGCATATAACGTTTTTTAGGGTAGTAATTTCTTGGATAATTTCTTGTCACACTGGGAAACAACTACTGTTTGCTAAACAACAATTTAATTTTATAATTGTTAGATATCTGCTACTTAACAATGAAAAATGTATCAAAGATCACTAAAGTCGATCAAAGTATTTTTCGAGCTTTACTCGGTCCAGTTATATACGATCTGAAAGAAAAATTCAATAATAACATAATACGAAAATGGGGTTTCCATCAAAGGCATAATTTTAAATTTATGTCACTCCTACGCTCGTCGAGAGTAAAAAAAACCATCAAACAAAGTTATCGAACAAAAACAAGCCATTCGCCGGGAGAAGTCAATAAAGTAGGGTCGTTTTAAAAGGCCAGTCTGACCCCTCGTTCATTAATTTTTAATGCGATTGTGTGCAATGAATAAATAAAATGCATTATAAAAGGCCCTGTATAGGCGAAAAGCCCGAAGATCGAACGGCGCTGGTTTCGGACGATTTGCCGAAAAATGAAGACATGCAGACCACGTGCAACAGATCATATAAAATTGAAGCAAATTTTCCGAACGCTGATGTGATTACTTGGCCGGATATTGTGCAACCCTTGCTGAGGTTATGTCTTCGGATTCTTTTATGGGGCCGATCTCGACGGTAATGGGTCTAATTTTCGAACGAGTTTCCTCTTATTGCCGATAGAGAGTTTTAGGACGCCGAACGAACCTTTCCCTCAGTCAATAGGGCTTTATTTGCTCGGTTTTGTCCCGGTTTCTTCTGTCTTTACTGCAATTATTTTCAATAAATCATGACAATAATACGGTTCGTTTGAAGGACTTTTGTTCTTTTAAAATGGTTTCGGCTAGGAAGAAAAGTAGGAGAGTTTATGAAGATACTTAAGGAAAATTTTGATTAAGTGTTAAGTGGTCCAACTTTTTTTCTTTCGCTCTACTGGAAAGTGCTTGAAAGCGATTGAAGCCAAATTTGATCGTATGCCTCAACTCTCATAAATACGTCGGAATGTGTGTGAAATTTTGGGCAAATGATAGGGATATTGTCGGTCGCATGCGACCTTTGCCTGATACAGTTTTGCCTGAAAATTTTTACTAACAAAATTCTGAATGCAAATTTTACGAATACCTGAATATTTACATTATTTTCTCAGAATTCAAAATATTCGACTTGTTCGGTCAAAGTGAGAAATTGATTCAAATTGCATTCATGATCTCGGGCAGAGTCTTCAATCTATATATATATAAAATTCTCGTGTCACAGTTTTAGTTACCATACTCCTCTGAAACGGCTTGATCAATTTTGATGACATTTTGTATGTATTTTCAGTAGGTCTGAGAATAGGTTGTTATCTATTTTTTATACCCTTAAGTGATATGGGTGCTGCCATAAACCCCTATCTTTTAATAGCTATATTAGTAATTCAATAAATTTAAAATAAAATTTAAAAAAAATCTCAAGTGGGCAAACCGCC